AGAGATTTAAACCCCCTCCCCTCCTATATGAACATTCCGTATACCCAGTTTAGGTGCCGAAACTTCACTTTTCTTACTTTCGTGAAGAATAGAACCGGCATGTAAAGGTAGTGAGTAGGAATTTTTTCCAGAGGCTATAAAAACATGACCATACGAGAGAGGACTTCGCATACCATTGGCCATACTAGTCTAATTTGTGTTGAAATGAGTGACAAAACTCAAGAGGGCATAGTCTCTGGCTTTGTAAACAGTATATAAACTGCCAATCATTAAAATCGACATCGTAGATTACAAGACAGCATTATATTAAATGTGTGCTTGAATACCTTAAAACATGACCTAGTTTTATTGAAATAATCTGAAGGTGATCAAAAAAATGACAAGCCAAATTACAAAATTTTTTGCAATTGCGCTAAACGAAAAATTTATCTGTAAGCGTTGATCACTACTGTTCAGAACCTATTTTTAGGGATCGGTTATAACTAGATAGAAATAATATATATATATGAAAACACAGCTGTACTTTCTGTGAGGGATGATTGAGTCACATATTACAGATAAACAATACAATCTTCCAGTTTCTGTTGAACGAAAAAAAAAATACAATAAGCTACATAAACGCGCCTACTTGCATGAACTGAATTTGATGGCTTAATGTTTTATCGTTAAGCTAGAAAGCATCGTCCTGACTAACATATGTATATAATGAATCCGCAGCACTTCTCCGAAACTATTGCCAATATTTGGAAAAATAAATCTACTGTGGTCTGGAAATCTCGACTTTCAGGAAAATAATGCACACGATTAACACGAAATTGAAGGAAAGCTGAAGCTTTTAAATGACTTCTTTATTACAGTATACTGACTTCGGTCCCCTTTGTGCACTAGTCTATTAAATGAGGACCTATATAATACTTTGCATTTATATATATATATATATATATATATATATATATATATATATATATATATATATATATATATATATAGGTTTCAGTTGGTACACTTTAAATGCAAACATCAAAACGTATCCCCGACCGTAGCTGCTACCTTGACGTGGTGGTCAGGCTTGCCTATCGTAGTGACCCAACTGAGATATACTGGCTGAAACATATGTTCATGAAGGTTCTACCATGCCAGGCAGGTTGACTACAGAACGATGAGACTAAAAACAGCTACCGAAGGTTTGAGGGCGAAGTCGTACTGCTGACTGCAGAGGAGTGTGACAGCAGTAAAGTGTTTCCCTCGGACAACCAGCATCTGTAGCGATGCTGCCTTCTCACAGAGAAGGAAGGAAGGGTTAGAAAAGGTCGACCCCAAAAATGTCACACCTCACCTTAACTCACAGGTTTCCGTCTCCGGAGATAAGGGTGCACACTAAGGGCTTTTGAGAGCGGAGGTAATACTCTCGAAACCTTTCATAGAAAGGCCGTGCGTGACCGGTCTGAAGCAGTTGTCTCTTGGGCTATGCGGTCACGCTCCCGCGTTGTTAAGATCAACGCTTATCTACTGTCTTTTTCAGCTTCCTCAGGAAAAACACTTCCACAGTGTGGGAAGCCGGGAAGTAATATTCGCCCTCATACCCATTCAAGCACACGAGGCCAAATCGGTCACAATCAAATCCTTTCTACATATCCTAATACCCCTCTTATCTCCTCGACCAACTCATCCTTCGATAGTTTGTCACCTCGCGCCACTGAAGCACACGCTACGAGCTCTCGAAACATTATTCTTGGTCTCCTGAAACCCCGTACTACATTACATATTGGAGCTTTTAATGTTCGGACCCTATGCCAAATGGGGCAACAGGCTTCATTAGCTAAAACTCTAGAATCCGGGACGATCGATGCATGTTGCGTCTCCGTAACGCGCACACAAGATACGAGTAAAACCACCAATTTGGTCTCACCTAGTACAGGTAAAGACCCAAGGTTTTTATGCTTCGCGTTTCTGGAAGCCCTGATGCTGCTTCTCGTGGCTTCGCTGGAGTACGTATAGTATTAAGTTCTAGAGCAGAACAAGCTCTCTTAGACGGGATCCCGATAGACAGTTGCTTATGCACTGTCCGACTAAACGGGTCGGTACGGACTCGGAAGGAGAGGGACACTCGCCATCGCCTCTTCATCATATCTGCCTACGCTCCCACTGACTACAGTTCAGACGACGTGAAAGATAAAAATTACAGAAAGCTTTCGGATGTCCTCCAAAAGGTTAGGCGCTCTGATATAGTAATGATGGCTGGTGACTTCAATACTCAAGTAGGTAGACTGAATGGAAAGGAATGACAACTGGGTGGATGTTATGGTGCCACGGCTAATAGAACAGATAATAGCGACCGTCTGCAGCAGCTATGCTCAGATAACCGCCTATTCCTAGCGAACACTTACTTTAAGCATATAGTAAACACCTTTTGACCTGGCGACCCCTAAAGCCGACCCAACGATGGACCCAACTAGATCACATAGCTATAAGCCACTGGTGGAGCGGCTCTGTTGAAGATAGCCGCTCATTCTGGAGCACTTGTTTAGACTCCGACCAAGCTCTAGTGCGAGAGCGTATTTGTTTGAGGTTTACTGGACGCAAGGAAACCTCTTAGCGCTCTACTTATTGATAATAAACCTATGAATATATTTCAGGAGGAACTATAAAAACAGTTAGCTAGCCATGTAGTAAGTGATGCCCACCCTAAGGCAGCTTCGAATGAAATCAAAAAGGCTGTGGAAACAGCAGCGGTATTTTTTAGTAAGGTAAACCATAAGGTTAGGAAGAAGTCGTGGGTTTCAGTAGCATCTCCCGAACTGATGGATGCTCGACAGCTCATCTCGCCTAACACTGAGTACGATGAGGAGCGGAGTCAGCTCAGGTGAACACTGGTAAAAACCTTCGTAATGGTCGGAAATAGTGATGCGTAGCGAAAGCGAAGGAGATAGAAAAAGCAACGGCGATAGGCAACTATTCAGACTCGTCAAGGAAACCGGTATTAGGAACCAAAATGTGAGATTATTTCGGCAAAAGATGGAACTATTATTCATTCTCAAAGCAGGAGACTGGACCGATGGGCAGAACACTTTAGGGATCAGTTCAACTGGCCTCGAGCCACACTTCGGTTGCCCACGATCTCCAGTTATCTTGAATGTGAAACCGACATAAGTCCTCCTATTCTTAATAAAGTTGAGAAAGCCATAGGAAATCGGAAGCGAGGTAGAGCAGCAGATCCTGATAGGCTTACCCCTGAGATGTTTAAGGATGTTGGGCAAGTTTTAGCAGCTATGTTGACTGAGATCTTAAGCTGAACCTTGGAACTGGAAGTAACCCCATCCGAATGGTCTGAATCCCTTATTGTCCCGATTGATAAGAAAGGAAAAATGTCTTCTTGTGACAATCACAGGGGAATAAGTCTAACTAATATAGTTTCTAAATTGTTAGCCTCCATTACACTTAGACGACTAACTAGAGATCGTGAAGAGTAGGCTAGAGAAAACAAGTCTGGTTTCAGACCTGGGTGTGGCTGAATAGACCACATCTTCACACTACAACAGGTCCTGGAACACAGTTAAGCGTCCGACAATAGTAGTCTTCCTGGACCTTAAGGCGGCATTTGACTCTGTGGATCGTGAGGTTCCGTGGCAGTGTTTATCATTAAAAGGTGTACCAAAGAAGTACATTAACCTTATACAAGCTATCTACTCGAACACTGCAGGTCGAGTTAGAGCTTATGGAGAACTGTCACCGGAATTCCTTACTTCAAGTGGTGTCCGTCAGGGATGTTCACTCTCCCCATTCTTGTTTAGAGATAACATTACCACCGTCCGACTCTTCAGGAGCAGACATTCTACCAGAAGACACGCTTGCTGACTTAGAATATGCTGATGACACGGTCCTGTTCGCTGATGACGCTGACAAAATGCAAACTCCTGACTAGCCTCAGCAACAAGGCAAGCATATTCGGGATGCGGTTCTCAATCTCGAAATGCAAATGTTGCTTCAAAATTGGGTCGTATCAGTGAACTAGTGATAGGGAGTGAAGTAGTCGGGCGTGTTGACCACTTTACCTACCTTGGGAGTTTCATCAGTGCTGATGGCCTGCTAACTGACGAAATCTCAGCTCGGATACAGAAGGCACGATTGGCTTTTGCCAACCTACGTCACTTACGGCGTAGGCGTGATATCCGTTCGCTAACCAAAGGACGGGTGTACTGCGCAGCAGTTTGCTCCGTCCTACTTTATGGCTGTAAAACATGGACAGTTAGAGTAGAAATATTCGTAGGTTACTCTTTTTCGATCATAGGTGCCTCCGAAGCATTGCTCGAGTACCGTGGGACAACCGAGTAAGCGATGCTGTCGTTAGGAAACGGGTGCTAGGTAAGGGTGGCAGGTCAATCAATGAAGTAGTGAAACTTCATCAGTTGAGGTGGTTGGGACATGTGTTACGTATGGCTAACCACCGACTGCCGCGACGAGCTATTTTTTGTCGTTTAGGAGTAGATTGGAAGAAAGCTAGGGGCGGCCAAACCAAAACATGGCACAAACCCAAGAAGTCACTGACAAGTGTACTGAGTCATGTTGGTAGATGTAGGCTACATGGTTGGTGTCCGCGAGACGAAAGTCACCAATGGTTAGAGACCTTGAACGACATGGCTCAGAATCGTTTGCAATGGTATAGGTGCATCCACTGTTTGTGTTCTCTCTAATTCTAACCTTCTGAATTAGTCATATTCTCTATCATTCTCCTAAATTTATCTTACTGAATTATACTTTTCGAATCATATCTTGGCTCCCTAATCTCCATTACTGCTAATATTTCTATAATTTCTATCACTGTTGGACTTGAACTGACAGCTGCGTCTCTGTGCTGATGTGGTATGTAAGCATGAACTGATGTACTTAAGTACGAAGTTTTGCGTTGCATCTGTCTATCTGTATTTGACAAATATATCAACGTGTGGGACCTACTGTCTAATAGTTGTGATCTGTGCATTTGCATTAATAAGCCAAACACGTATCAGTTCGTAAACATTTATTTAATTCAACATAGTGGTCTACTAAAATATATATTTTATTCTTACAAAAAAAATAAACAAAATACAATAGTTCAGGTTAGTTATATCACAGGCTGACATCAACTGAAAAGTCATTAAAAAACAGAAAACACTGAGAAGCTGTTTTTTCCTAGTTTGTGACTCAGTTGTCTAAAGGTATCATCTTTGCCATAAGGCCCAAAGGTGAGATTATGAGTGCGTAATATCGAGAGAACATAAACAGGTAGAGTCAGATGGTCTCTGGTTCTCCAGTTGATGTCAACCCACAAATAAACCTATTTTCAAACAAAAAATCTTTTCAGCCGCCTTCCAACATAAATATGGTTTTTTAATACCAATTACAACAAGGACTTTTTAATGAAATACATAATAGAAATAAATTGATTACGTAAAAACAATGTAGAAAATATGACTTCTGTTATTCTAGTTTTGTCCAGATTAAAACAAAAATACTATTTAAGCTTGAGTTCATTCTCATGATATTTGATACGCTTATTATTGAGTGTACAGCACTTCAGAGTTTAGCTTGATCAGCACTGTATATTACAACAATAATCCGTATTGTTAGATGAGAACTTTATGCAATGAGAATCTGATTACAGTAAGAAAGAAATAAACAACAAAGTAGAGAGAATAATTAACAACAGTTTAATAGTTTTATGTCTTTGTTTTATTAGCACCAACAATTTGACGAATAATATCAATAAACCGTGGATCCCCCATAATATTTACATGTTCTGCCCCAGGCAACATAAAATATTTTATACCAGGCCAACGTTTACAAACTTCCAAACTTCGTAGACTAACAGTTCCATCACCGTTCCCAGTAATCAATCTTGGCACTTGATCTGGAAACGCACTATGAAAGAAACTAGGCGGTGAATAAACCATTTTGTCAGTAGTACTTAAGTTTGCTCCATGAATACAATAGATTTCATCAATATCGCTTGGTTTTTCAAATGTATCAATTGTAGATTTACTATCCAACATCATTTGAAAACCTAAGGACAAAAGTGCATAAGTATGCAATAATACAACGAGAAAATTTTGAGTAAAATAACTCTTCAAAAGTTTCTGTTAGGGATGTGCAATCCCTAAATACTACATTTATGAACAAGTCAATTTTGGAACTCACAAATTAATTTCAAGGGAATTTTGTCCATTGACTTCCAATATATTTTTACACGCATCGGTCTATTAAATACAGAGTTAATTTATTTTATTTCCAATGTATCTTCACTGTATTAAATAGTGCACTGGGATTTGTGTTCAGTAAAAACTACTCCGTCCATACATTATACTCATTTCAATCGATTGATCTATGACTGAATAGCTTTGCTTCTTTCTTTGAAACATAATTACGGTTGAGACCTGTTGAGTGAAGTAGTGTCCAAAAATACTAGGCCATGGAAAAAAACAATAGTTCGAAAAATGCTTTTTTCAAGAAATTGACACAATCTCTACACTTATATATTGTAACAGTTTAGAACAACAACAATGAATTGAAATAATTAACTTGATTAGAAAGTGATTTCTTGCAAACACGCTACCGAAATCAACTTGTTTAATTTCTGAATTATTTAGGAGAAGTGAAATAAGTTACTGCATGAATCTCACTGACGACTGTAACAACTGTTGTAAAGGTTTTGCTAATAAAACATTCTCAAATACATAGGTAAAACAAGTAGGAAAACGGGAGGTGCAAGTGAAAATAATTAAATCATTTAAAACTATTTCGTGATGTATTATTCGGCATTAAATTCCTTGGGGTTTTCCTGGTTTCTGAAGTTATTTATTCCTATCCAACATGACCCAGGGAAAATGTGTGTCAAACGAAGTTGTCACACTGAAATTCAATGCAGAGACAGAAATTGATGACATGGAAAGCGAAGGATTGGATGGCATTGTTCAAGTAATAGTAGAGGGCAAAACAACACCAGAAGATGCAGAATAGATGGATTCGCACCAGTGCGACTGATTCTGAATTGTATTCTCTAAGGTTTCTAAATATAGGTTACATTTAATATCTTAGAAACTCACTCTATCAGCCAACATTTTATACATTGTTCAAATCAATAGTGAATAGTGTGGTTTCAGTATCCATGAGTCAAGTATCCCGATCGTAGCTGCTACCTTGATGTGGTGTTCGGGCTTGCCTATCGTAATGACTCAACCGAGCTATATTGGCTGCAACATATGTTTCTGTAGGTCCTAACATGCCAAGTAGGTCGATTTGAGAACAACAGTAAAACTACAAGCAGCAAGTTTAGGTCTGAGGGCGAAGTCGTACTGCTGCCTGTAAAGGGATGTGACAGCAGTAAGGTATTTCCCTCAGACAACCAGTATCTGCAGCGATGCTGTCTTTTGACAGGGGAGGGAGGAAGGGTTAGAGAAATTCGACCCTAGAAACGTCACACCTAACCTTAACTCACGGATTTCTGTCTCCGGCGGTAAGGCCTTTTAAACAAGAGCGTAGTTAACACTTTCAGAAATTCTCATAAAAAGGCTGTGTGTGACCGCCCTCAAGCAGTGCATCATTTCAACCTATTGTTTATTTGAGAACGACGGCCATAATTGTAGCTGAATGCATTTGCACCAGACTTGACGTTATGCAGAGTCTATTATGTGTTTCACTTTGCACCAAAAATGCCAGGTCATACTAATATCCAGTTTACTCAAACAAATTATCAACACCTTTCTCAGTGGTTGTAAACGATAGATTGTTATATTAACTTAATTTGGTGGATAATCAAACTACTATTCAGTGGAAGTTTCCAAAAAGTAAAAAAAGAAAAGAATACCTACTTGAAAGGAACATCTTTATTATGTTCTTATGGTCATTCAGTTTTAGCTCTACAATCACTGATTAAGAAGTAGTTGGATAATAGTTAGATCCTAAAATAAAGGCAATCTTCTAATCATACTTCTAAATATTAAGGTAATTACAGGTTGAGTTAAGTTACAGGTTGGATTTAAGATTTGTGAAGGCTAGTACAATATGATAATTACTTTCGTCACAATTTAATATAGACTAAATAATCATTTAAAAAACACAGCGCTGAATAACTAACAAGTTGTAGTATAGGGTTTTATCGCAGTATGCAAATATAACAGTAAACGCGATACACTATGCCACGCGTTTATTAAGTTGAAATCCGATAATTTGCGCTTTCCAGAGTTAGCAATCTCACAGCAAAATAAGGTTAGATTGAAGATAAAAGATTGGATGTATAATATTCAGCTACTTACCGATTGAATAATTGACATCATGGAAGAAACGTTCGTAGTCATGAGCAGTATAGTTTGTTGTTGGTGTTATAATAAGGGGTTCCGTTGGGGACCATAAACGAGAATCCGGGAGGAGGAAGGCAACAGAAGGTAGAGTGCGTTGAACAGGACGATAACTTAGTGGACTGCGTAAAAACACCCCAAAGTTATCACCTAAAAATATTGCGGAACATCAGTGTTTTAAAGTGCTTAGTCTATTGTCAGAAGTACTTAGAATGCAGAAACAAATTACGCATTTATTGCAAAGACAGACGTAGATATGGCTCCACAAATAATATCAACTAGTTGCATGATATGGTTCATAAAAATCAAATTATTATGACAGCTATGCATATGAATCGGTAAATTAATAACGTACAAGCGTTTTATTTATGTTGAATGCATTTCTAAATCTCATTAATTCATCCACGTAATAAGGTCATTAAAGGTTACCTGTCTTTTTTAATCCTCTTGTTATACCACATAGCATATTGGAAAAGGTTTTGCAGTATGGCAGCGCTGTAATTCTTTTATTTCGAGTATAAGAATAACAAATTTCGAGATATCGAGGCACTATATTACCTGATGCATCAAGATATTAATGTCATTCAGTCACAAACCAAATCGAAATCAGAGTATATTAGACTAAATGGTATTGTTGGCAGTAAATTTGAAGATCGCATATTCAGAGTCAGTTGCCGTGACTCGAATAGACATTCGTTTAAATGAAAACGGGAGTAAAATACGTTGGAAACAGATTTTAGTTACTAAAACACGTACAAATTGGAACAAATGCTGGTCTGTATACGTATGTGCCCAAAAATCTAACCCAAAATGCAGTAGATGTAGTCATACCGTATCCGGTTACCAACAACAGGTTTATGCGTTACTCGTCCCTTCAGAACTATAAAGCCCATGCGCACCTTCGGTGTAGATTGAGGGTTTTCCAACTCCTCCTCTATACCCACAAACCTGGTTGAAGCGCTAGACACTTTCCATCTTCTTCATTTCTTAAACGACACTCCCGTACCCGTATGTATGACTTCAGATCATTTTACCTTATAGCCGAGCACTACATGGGCGCATCATTTTCGAATAAATGGAGTATCGGTTCGTACTACTGTGGTATGCTTAAAACTGGTTAAATTTTTTAGATCTCTTAATTGTCATCTGGAATTATTTGTCACCATTATTAAGTATTAGCGTATTCTATGTGCTTGCTGAATTATCGAATCACTTGCTCTGTATTTTCTGTTCCAGATTTTACCACTTCTATTCGCGACCCTCCAGCACACAGCGTCAGTCAGTTACAATGTAGAACTCCGTACGTACCTTCGGGCTAGACCGAATATTGCCAAATGTTGAACGTTACATTGTAGACTTATGTACAGTATAATAAGCATTTGGTAAACAAGGACCTTTAGCAGCCAAACGATTATTATTGTGGTTCTAGACAAGCTCCGGAATATTGGTGTCAGCGTACTTTATTTTGTTATTTCAACGAGAAGTATTGATTGGACCCGTTGGTTGACGAAAGTGGCTTAAGATGTAAGTACAAAAAAAGTAATGAGAAGTGCATGCATGCACCCTAGGAAATTAGGCTCTTTACCGGATCATCTGCCTTTATACCACAAATACAGCCATATGCTCAGATTTCAAGTACGACTAAGAACCAATAAACGCTGATTAATTTGAGTAAACATAATGGAAAAATGTAACGTACCGCTTGCCTCGATTTTTAGGGCTTTAACTGCTCCCCCAAGGGGTGCACTGAGTGCGACAAAGGTCTTGATGTATGTATTCTTCCAACTCTTTTTCATGGACTTTAGGAAGTACATAGCATATTTAGCTCCCAAACTGTGGCCAAGCAAAACGACAGACTGGTTTCCACCATTTTGATAAGTTTCCTCAATCAGGAGCATAAGTTTACGATTGAAGTCCTTGTTTTCATCTGAAAATAAAACTAATTTAAGGAAGGTCCAAACAAACTTGGAGCTCTACGGAAATCAAAGGGTGCACCGCGAATAGTCCGATTGGATACGAAGAAGGGGTCCACACGCAATGAATCAATCATTGGACTGCAATACTCAGTTTTGGTATGTTTAGTACTGTCCAAATTTTCTATAGACCACGTATCACCCCAACCTGGAAACGATACATCTGCTTTATCAGGATCCCTAGATTTTCGAGTGACTGGGTCATACACCAAACTAAGGTCCGAAAAATAGAAAAGTAATAAACCTTACCCAAAATATTCATTTAGTTTTCCAGGCTCGAGAAAGTAACGTAAATCTATCCATACCAAAAAAGGATCCGACGTTGAGTTTTTTAACTTGCTGTATGCCTGACACCCTCCATCTCCCGGGATTATTACTATCGGGTGCTTTCCTGACTGGGTGTAAACCGTGGAAATAAGTATGAAGAAGCAAATCTTATTCCAGTTTAGGAGCAACATAATACTTACAACAAATGTCCAGAGTAAGTAACCCATACAGGTTTTATAACCAAAACATCACCTGATTAGCACCGAACAAGCGCGAACTACGAAATTCGGGTGTTGTAGTGTTCAATGGGGTTTGTCTTCCATGTAATCCGGGTTAGTTTGACGTTAATTTATTGGTTTTTGGCTGTATAATGAACTATGAATTACATAAAGGTATCATCAGAATAGCTAAAGAAAAAGAAACGGACGGAAAGAAATCGACTGGTTTATATTAACTCGTGAAAAGAGTATTAAATGTCACATTTCAAGCTTTATTAACAAGAAGTCCAAATGAAATCACGTGAATATGTTGGACTCGCCCAAGCAATAAAATTGGATAGGGCTGAAGATTCTAGATTCACCAGATTTTTTAAACACGAACATCAAAAGTCATCTATAGAAGTCGTTGCATTTCTGTCGTAATTGTAAACGTATTTCATAGTGTGATGGTATACTTTTACAAAAAGACAACACAGATGCTGAAGTGGAAACATTTATTATTATACTTAATTATAAAAATAATTGTTCTATTGTACTCCTTTTGTTGAACCATACTAACGACTCTAACTCGCGCGCCAAGCGTGTCATTCCCATTCCGCTTCTCTCCCTGGTGGTTGTTAGCCACTCTTGTTTTCCGGTCTTCATATTATTTCGATATCACAAGGTTAGCGATAAATATACTTCATGCAGAACAGTCTTTTCTTTGATTTCCGGATTTTATCGGGATTTGACGTAGTAATCCCACGAAGGTGTATATTTATTTCAACTCACTATAATTTGTGAGCGACTACTACGAACACACATCAAATACGGTGAGGCTGTCTTTTTTCCCGAGAGTGTCTTCCTGGGGGCCACATTGCTGCCGTCAGTGAGGTTGTTCCCAACCCTACTGTTCCTGATGTCTACGATCGTCTCAAAGAGGCGATTCTCAGACACCTCCTCCCATCGAGGGAGTAACGGTTTAGAATATTATTAGCACGTCACCACTTTGGTGATGTTAAATCAAGCTACCGCCTGACGTGCCTGCAATCCTTGGCAGGACACACGACAGCCGACTCTCACATAGTCAGGGAACTGTGGCTCGAGGCACTACCAGCACAAGTTCAGCCTACGATCACGGCTCTGCTCGAGGACACGCCAATTAACAAGACTGCCCATATAACAGACAAGATAACACCACTCCACATGGTTCGCAAAACAAGTGGGATAGGTTGGCGACCATGTGGCGACTACCGAGCATTGAATGTGGTAATGCGTTTCGATAGCTATCCCATCCCCCACATACACGACATCACAGCACCACTCAATGGGACGACTATTCATTCTAAGATTGATCTGGAACGGGCATATCACCAGATCCAAGTCGCTCTTGAAGATATCGAGAAAACTGCTATCGCGACTCCTGTCGGTCTGTTTAGTTCCCACTAATGCCATTTGGATTACTAAATTCTGCTCAAAATTTCCAAAGGTTTATCGATAGCATAATATGAGGAATTTCTTTCGATCATGTCTATGTTGATGATCTGCTAATCGCATCCTCAAACGTAGATGAACATTATCAACATCTTACACTTTTATTCGAACGTCTTTCGAATAATCGAATAGTAATCAACTAAGATGAGTGTGTACTGGGCAACTCAGAGATAAAACTATTGGGTTACATCACTAAGCATGGGGTGTTCTACCTTGTGAAGATAAAGTACGTGCAATCATGGAGTACACTGTCCCGTCCCCATTCAAGAAACGGAAGGCTTTTCTCGGTTTGGTCAAATTCTACCGACGTATTATTCCTCACGCGGCAAGACAGTTACGACCATTACCGACTCACTTCGCGAGAATCCACGTAGATTAGGATTGAACGATGCTGCGCGTACTGCATTTTTAGGAATAAAAAAGCTTCAGCTGAAGTCACACTTCTCGTCCATCGTAACCCATCAACCATGCTTTGTATACGCGGTTGATGCATCAGATGTTGCTATAGGAGCCGTTATGCGACAGAACATCTCTGGAAGTTGGTAACCTTTCGAAATTTTCTCACGACGCCTTACTCCCACTGAGACGAGATATAGCGCTTTTGGCCGCGAACTGCTAGCAGTCTACTGTGCCATCAAACATTTCCGGCATGCAGTAGAAGGTCGTAACTTTATCCTCTTCACCGACCATAATCATCTAACGTATGCTCTGCATACCAATGCTTACAATGTCAACCATCGAAAGTGCACAGGCACGCAGCCGCCCCCATCGGCACATTTGCTACGCCTGATGCTCGCCTCGATCATGTTCATATTGACATTGTAGGACCATTGCCACCATCGCATGGGTATGATCACATGCTCATGCGCATCAATCGTTTCACAAGAATGCCCGAAGCTATTCCCATCACTTCTATTACGGCGAAAACAGTCTCTCGCCGCTTCGTAGAACGACGGATATCGCCGTAAGGTTGTCACTCGACTGTCACAACTGACCGAGGACAATATTCCCAGTCCGGATTTTTCTTCTCGCTAATCTGGCTGCTTGGTACGAAGCGCATACGCACTACTGTCTACCACCCACCTTCAAATCATTTAGTTGAACGGTTTCATCACCAAATTAAAAGTGCCCTTCGAGCAAACGAAAACAACAAGTGGTACGAAAACTACCACTCGTCCTCTTAGGTATCAGAACTGAGAAGACTGAGGCAGGCGCGGAAGCTTGTATTATGCAAATTTACACTCCGAATCAATTAAAAACTAAAACATTACATTGAACACTCTATTAGTATACCACCTTTAGTCGTGACTTCCAATGCTCCAGACTTCTTCCATTCATGTTGTTGTTTCCTTTCCTTCCTGTTGGTACTCCATTTACTTCCTGCTTTTGCTCCATTTGCCTTCCGTTTTCCTCTTCTGACCGTGAGAATTCTTTCACGTCCCTTCTTATACTACTTATATATGGCACGACATCGTGCCTGACTGGGGAATTTTTCACACCACGGATCAGTGATAACTTCAATAAATCAGACTACGTCCAACGATTGTTTGAATTTATGAGGACACCTCCTCCAGTGTCAACTCTAGTACAACATCGACAGTTCGATTTAATTTGAGAGTTCTTTACCTGTTTACATGTTTTCACACGAGTCGATTCGGTACGCAAACCTTTGCAAGAGCCTTACGAAGGAACTTTTCGTGTAGTTTCTCGTCATCAAAAGACCTTCAAGATTAATAATAATAATAATTTATTCTCAAATAACTACGTTACAAGAGTCACGCCAGTTTACAGGCTAGATCAAATTGTCACAAATGCTTTCACAATTACTGTAAAGTTATAGCAGTTAAATTAAGTATAAGAGTCAGTTTCTGATTGCATATTTACACCATGTTACTGACAGAAACAGTATTATACAGCCTCATTTTCAATAGTAGAGTACAAATAAGGAAGGAAGATGCATAATAGGTTCTTTTGGCGATTTGTCGAGATCAATAGTGAATTTGTTGGGAAAGGTCATATGGAACGCACTTGATACGAGCTGTGATCCAGACAGTCATGTACCTAGGTTGCATGTTCCCTAGAGTCGCCAAGGATTTCCCACCGTGAATGGGGTTCTGAAAAGGAGAAGAGAGAGAGAAACAGGCAGCACTGTGGCAAGTGTATATATATAACCAAAGCACTACTTAACCTGTCATGTTGAAGTAGTCAATACAGTAGTAAGTCAAGATAAAATTCATACTGACCACTTAAATTAAAGTAAATTATGGGAATATAAGAATATAGCACACAGATATAGGATTACAGCAAAAGGAAGGGAGAGTTGTGCAGTGTCAGGTGGATAGAAGAGAAGTCGAAGTAAGAAGCTGGATTTATGTACGTTGAAATTGAAATTCTAGTTGAAAGAGTAGAGTTTGTAAAAATAAAAATGTGATGAATAAAATCTCGCACTGCCTAACGGTTTTTTTTATTGAATGCCAACCTCTAAGTCATGCTGTAAGCGCCTGAGTAAGAATGTTGCAGGTGTCTCAACAGAATAGCGACCTCAGCATAGTTTTGGAAACATGAGGTAATTTTAACTAGGTGTTAAACGTGTGATCATGACTTCACAATCTCTTGAAGACAATGACATTTCGTATGATTCGTCGCATATAAGTAGTGACATGGCCGAAAAGCGTCAACGTTCAGATAAGATTTCTAACCTTATGGGTCATTATCTTTTGAAAGGATGGAGAATGTTAAACGAATCTTGTCCTAAATGTGAGACTATTCTTTTCCAACAACCAAATGGTCAGTATTACTGTGTAGCGTGCTTAGAAGTTGATCAGGAGAAATCCAGTACTACAAAAGAATCATTAATAAGTAATCAACACTTATTGAATAAATCACAGAACTTCTTGACTGAATCATCACCATTTCATAATGATGTTGGCATTGCCCATTTTCCAATCAATACAGTTTCTGGTTTACCCAAAAGATCCACGAAACCGCTCTCTAATAATGAACAATCTGTAACAAGTGCGTACAACGAGGTTAATATGCTAACAGAACTACGTGAAAAAATCCATTGGTGTGTGTCCCAATTAATAGAGACTACTACACCTATGGATATTCAGCAGTGGGTGGATACGCTAAAGTCTTTATTAGAACTATGGGATAAATTATCAAAATCTAACTTTGTCAAACTTTAACATCAAGATAAAAGTTAAAGCTGTGTTCTAATAACATTTGGCAAACTAAAAGTATTTTTCTAAATATAGTTTTACCAAGATTTAACAAGATATAGTTTGCTTCTCTGTTTTATTATAATTTTTCACTTTACAAACTTCGTGCAATTGCCGCTAAATATGGTCACATTGAACATATGCGCATTTTTATATTACTCAGTTATAATCAATAATGCCTATACAACCTTATAGATTTGGCTTAGAGATGAATATCACTAATCTTGATTAGTATAGACTTTGCTCTTTGTTTTACAAATGTGTTTTTCGAGGTTGTAAAATAAAAAAATTCATATAAAAAAAAAATGAACCACAGAAGTAGCAAGCGTATAAGAGCAACCTCAGTGTTACTGATTAATCGTCTCATCAATCTAAAGAGCCGAAAGCAAACAAAATGTTCTGCCCCACAAATATGGGTTGTTTGAAGTTATCGCCCACACCATCAATGTTTGCTGGTCAGTAACTCCACCCTCCCTCCTTTTGTGTTGTTAGGCTCATGTTAAATGTTTAAAAGAAGCTATTGAGTTCTACT